TGCTTTGGAGCTGGACATGCTTTGGTGCCTTCAGGACAGAAGCAGCCAGCAATAAACCACCCTGGATAGTGTTTTCCTGTTTGCCAGCAGGCGACTGTCCCTAAAGTGTCTACAAGGACAGAGCACAGTACATCTTCTGAAAGGAGGCACAGAGGTGCTGTGCTTGGGTGCCTCCAACAGTGTGCAGGGACTTCCATGTAGCCCACATCCTGATTCTCTTCTGGTTACTGCTTCCTAGGGAGGAGATCACTCCTGCACCATGAGCCTGCCTTACTGATGATCCCATCAGAGGTCTTCATTCACCGGGATGTCCAGAGGTGGGATACCAGGAGAGCAGTACCAGCATGATTCTCTCAGTCCTCCCCTTGCCAGAATGAGTCTTGGGTGTGGGAGAACAGACCCAATAGCTGCTCTCTGAAGCACATGTGCACATTGTTGGAGAAAAATTCAGCCAGCTCAGGCAACCTCAGCAGCTGCTTAATGAATTTTGACTTGTACTAATTTGCCAAACTTTTGACTGGATGAAATTGGCACTGGCTGATGCAGTTTTTTTTATTTACACTGCTCAGTCTGGAACAAAATGAAAGCCAAGTGCTTTTGACTGAAACCTGGCATGAGCCCCCTGCCACCAGCCTCAGCTCTCTGTCATACAGGATGCTGTCCAGCAGTGTGGCCAATTTGCACATGGTCTGCATCTGGGTCAAGAATGCATGTTATTAAAGAAGGCAACTCCCTTGGCAACCACTTGATTCTTCAAGGTGGTAGCCCTTGGGCTTCTCAGTGTCTCTTATTGCATCAAAGGTGCTGTTACATAGTGAACTGAAAGGTTGTCCTCTTTCCATGGAATTCTCCAGGCATCATCCCGTGGGTGAAGAACTACAGACCTTCTATCAGCACCTCCTCTAGCAAGCTCTGCATCATCCTCACATCATGCACTCTGCCCAGCCCAGTCTTGTGTGCTCAGACCTCTCTTCAGCCCCAGAAAGGACAGGAACAAGGGTACATGCACAGCAGGTATGTCCAAAAGTGAAATACAGAACAAGTAAGTTATTTCTCTTCAAGAATTCACCTCTTCCCCTCAAAGACTTTAAAGCCACCTTCCTCTCAAGCAGAAAAGGCCAGCTAAATCACAGGCCCAAACAGTACTTCAGCAGAGATTTGCAGCAGGAGCCATTCACCACTGCAGGGTCCTTCTGCTGAGAACCATGGAAGATCAAAGCAAACTCCTCAAGTGAAATGCAGTGAAATGTGTGCAAAGAGGAGAGTGAGCAAATGTGTCAGAGACAGGACTGCTGGTCTCCAGAGCCAGGCTACCTAGCTGGGCATGGTGCTTCATGAAATACACTTATTCTTGCATTGAGTTTCCTGCCTGGTTTCGTTTGCTTAATTATTTGTTTTCACAGATAGATAGCACTGGTTTGTGCAATCATTTTCTTTGAAAACAGAATTCAGCTCATGTTATTTCACCTAACTGGGCTGATGTTGAGTAAAACAAAAGTTGTTTTGCTGACAGCCCTGGTCCCCAGCCAGTGACTGTACATGGGATGTTGCTTCAGAGAACAGTTGTCTTGTCCCAGTGTCAGGTGTGTCCTGGGGCCCCAGAACAGCACTGTGCATGGCACTGGGAGGCATAAACATGAACCTTCTCAAAACTAATGGCACACAACTCCAGTTGTGGCATAAAGATATTTTGAATGAGCAGGATGGGTTTTTGCCATCTAAACTTCAGGGTCATGAGCATTAAAAGATAAAGGGATTTAAATATTTATTTAGTTCAGGGTAGAGAAGGTGTTTTGGGGCTTTTTCAACTTTTTAGAGTATAAATGAGAAAAGGAGATGGAAAAAAAATGGCATGCTGCTGTTTCTAAAGGGTGAGGGAAACTTTATTCTAACTGGCCTGCTTCTCTTGTGTGGGCAAGCTGGTTGGCTCAGGACATGGGCTCTCCACATATAAATGCATTCCTGTAAGATCTGTTTTATGAGTCACTTTCAGCGAAGACAAACTGTTAGGTGCTTCATAGCAAATGGTTTTGGTGACTGCTGCTGCCTCACACTGCAATGACAAGAGAGCACTGCCCTGCGCAGGTTTGGAGCACTGGCCTGATGGTCCTGTGCCGTCCTGCAACACAAGTACAGATGGATGCTTGTCCACCCACAACTCAACTCTTGTGAAATGTCCAGGAAGGGAAGGGGATAAACCTGCACTGTGTTTTCAGCTACCAGGATAGAAACAATATTTTAGATTCACTGGTGATTTACAAACTCATATCCCTTCGTCTGTCCGTTGGCCCTTAAAAGAGTTAATATTGTATATTTGGGAATGCAGATAATATTGAAAAGCAACTTCTCTATCAAACTATAGATGTCAAAAGCTATGCTCTTTGACCTATAGTTTAGTTCCAGAAAAACCACTTCTTTTCAGATGAGCAGAAAATAAACTGGGAATGACAAAACTGATCATGTGTTTGAACTTAATATTGTTGATGGATGGCATTTGTACAAGTAGCTGTCTAGTAGCTTGTTTTAAACCATTTGGGCTTTTAATATTGACCTTTCTGTGAATTAGTGACATTAGAAAACCAATTACCCAATTCAGATTTTGCAATCTTCTTCAAAAGTAGTTTTATTTATGAATATCCTACTTGTAAGAAAGAAGGCCTTTCTGACATCTCAGGCATTCTAAGCCTTGGCCACATTTTGTCCTACCGGTGTAAGTGAAGTTTTCCCAGAACTGTCAGAAGTGAACTGTTGTCTCAAGTTAAAGCTGTTTCGGACCAAATTTCCTTCCTCCAAGATTTGGCTTCAGAACTCAGTTTTGAAATGCTAAGAGGAAAAAAGAATCTGGGAAATTATAATTAGCAAGGAGGAGGCTGATGAGTTTGCCCAAGGATGAGGAAGATTCTCTCTCAGCTTCTATTCTCAAGAAATGCTGTACATTTCAGTTCCAGAGCTGAGAAGAGCTCCCTCAGGAGACTGAAACCTGGAGAATTTAGGAGCCTTCTAACACACTATTTGCCCTTATTTTGATTTGCAATTAGTTGGGGTACTGTCCAACCTTTTTTGGGGTGTGAAGATGTGTTTCTGGGCAGACAGCCACCAAGGTGTGTGGGCATCTGTGGAGTCTAAAGACTGAAGGAATTTAAGAAAACTCCCCTGCTTTGACCAACCCAACATGCTTTCATGAAATTGCTCACTGAAGTGTATTCAATATGCTCTACTTAAGATCCTCACAAAACTGAAATACAATCTTGTGTAAACTGCAATTGAAAAGAGTTACAAAATTTCCATTTATCCAAAACAATTTGTACGGTCTGTTATTTTTAAAAAACTGGATGTTTTTTGAGTATGGAGCCAGACAGTAATATATCTCTGAGATGGAAGCCTTGCAATTGTATATATGGTTTGTGGTTTACACATCAGATAATAATCTAGCATAAGTATGAAAATTTAACTGGCATCCAGCTGCAGATTTTATTGGAGCATCCTTTGGTTGGAGTTTATAGCCCACACAATTGAGTAGGCAGGATTTCCTGAAGAGATCAGGTCCCAAGTCCTTTGTGGAGGTGAAGGTGGGATGATCACAAGTTACTTGTGGGAAAGGGGGTGGGAGGAAGAAGTGGTGCAAGGAGGTCTAGAGTCACCTGTGGGGAAGTGGTGTTCGGGGAGATTCTTTACCTCAGACCCTAGTTACTGGGGAAGAGGCACAAGTATTTTTTTGGTACATATACATATACATTTCACATCCCTCTGCTACCCTGGGAAATCACAAACAGCCAGTAGCTGCTCTTGGGCTTTTCACTCCAGGGAAGTTATATCTCCCACCCCCACATACGCCCCATTTTTCATTGTAGAGGGGCTTTTGGGTCTCCTGGACCAAATGAGAGGAGGTTGGGTCAGCACTTGTTGCCTGTGTGGCAGGCCTTCTGTGGCTTCTTCCTTCTAGGGGAGAACTGGTGAGTGAGTGACCAGAGAAAAGACATGACTGGTGGCAAGGTGTGCACGTGATCTGTCCCCATATCCCCAGAATTTATTCTGACTGTCTGATCTATGGGCAGGAGGGAGTCCTTTCTGGATCAGACAGACACCACTGGTTGGTGTTTGCTATCTTTCTCCTTGGTGCTAGTTGTGGTGATAGTTGTGCGGGGCACTGGTGCAAACCACAGCCTGTCACTGCCAGGACTTTGGAGAGAGCCTTGCCCTCTTCCCTTTCTGTGGTGTTATGTTTGTGGTATTTGGTGTTTGCTACATCTCTGAAGTGTGGTGAGAGGTGCTGGGGGGACTTCGAGGCCTGTGGAATGCAGAAGAGACACTTTGTGGGCTCCCCTGGACTGAAGTCCTGTTTGCTTCTCTTTGCAGAGGACTGCATATGCAGAGGACTGTCCAACTTCTGTGTCTCTGTTATTGTACTCATTTGGTACCTCACAGAGGTTGTTCTGATTTGATTGTTGAATAGATTTATTTATTGTTCAAGTCAATATTGCTAAATGCCACTTGATTTGCAAGGGAGGGATAGGCATACTTTAGTTTATTTTTGTTTGGTAGTTACCAAAATGTCGAAATCTGAGATCAAGCCATATCTCCTTCAGCGAGCAACATGTGTTTAGCACCTGGGACAAACATCAAGTGATCAACCTCAGACAATAGAACATTTTCCTGAAATTAGCATTTGGTTCTTACACCCATAGCCATGAATAACACCCACTCCTTATGCTCAGAATGCAAAATATGAGCTCCAGGAGAAATGATAATAAATGAGCCCAAATGAATTCTCCCCTACAGAAAATGATTTAATAAGTAAGGCTGCCCCATCAGATACTTCTCCAGGGAACGTGATGTAAGTGTAAGGTGAAGTACTATCACAAAAACTGTGTGTGTATACTCCTATCAGATCTATTAGCCAGGGAAATATAAGTCAGGGTCAAGATGATCGTACCCTTAAGCTGACATTACATATCGTTTTGGCAGGAAGAATCGTTTTGTGTTTCTTGATCTCTCTGTAGACGTTAAAACAATCCTGCTGATGGTTGAGGACCCGTCCTGTTACCTCCACTCACTTGGCACTGCCTCTGCTGCTTACTGCAGAAGGATGACCCAGAAGATCCCGACAAAGAGTAAGGAAAGGGATACAACTCCTTATAATATGATGTGATTATTGACTATGGGAAAGTGTCCGGGGAACGAAAGCAACCCAGAAGGACAGAATGAGTGATGGTGCTGTGCATTCATGAACATTTTTCTCTCTTTCCAGAATCTCAAGCTCTTTGGGAAACTCCTGAGTGACAGAGGTAAGTGAAACTGCCAGTGGGTGGTGCATGGGCATCTCTAATCCTTGCAGATCCCAGCTGAGCACTGCTCTTACCCATCACATGTATTCTATTTACATCACAGCAGAGGGAGCGTCGGCAAAGCATCTCAGAGGAGCAACCTTTTGTTATACCTACAGCTGCAACCGACACAGAAATAATCACAATAATAAGACTCACATAGTTAATTGATTGACCATTTTGCGACCATTATAGCCAGTTTGGCCATAGCTGGTTTACTGCAGTCTTGTGTCCCCATGATTTCTTACATGGAAAGAAACACCTGAAATACCTCAGGATATTTAGGATCTGTTCCCCTGGCTGCTTCTCTCAACAGTTCACTCCATTCTGGCCTTTTTTCCATATCTGCTAGAAGGCCATACCAACATGTTGATTTTTCTTGTGCTGTCCTCCATGCTCTGCGCTGAGGGACTATATTTGAAATCAGTGAGTGAGCTCTGTGTTAAGAAATAGCTCTGGCACTAAAATGCTTAAAATTACTCTTTGTTTCTCTGACTTCTCTCCTGATTTGGATTATCCCCCCCAGACTTGCCCACAAGATGGAATACTAAGAAAATATTGTTTTGTTTAATTTATTTTTTGATGTCCACATTTCTCACATTTCCTCTTCCAATTTCAAAGTGAGTCTGAGCTCCTCCACTAACATTGCTTCAGCTGTTATTTTGGGGATCTGAGAGAGGGGATTAAAAATAAACGAAGTGCGGGTAATGCGTTTCTTGTCACAGATTCTCTTAGGCAAGTCAGTAAGAAGTTATTGACACTTGTTTCTTTTCAGGTTAAACAGAGGGATTAGATGAAGGGTATTACTTAACACAGGTCAAGGTATTAAAATATGGATGCCTAAATTTAGGCTCCTAATTTTGTGTATTGAGCCCCTAAATAAGGCTTGATCTTATGCCCTTTGAAGTCAATGCCAAAGCATTGACTGAGTTCAATCTGCAGGATGAAGTCCTAAATTATTCTCAAAAGTTCTCAGCATCTCACAGCTCCAAATAAGTCATTACCCTGCCTCTGCAAATCACATGTCTTTCCTTAAGTTCCTAAACATGGGGATCATGCTTTTAGGTATTCCGTATTTAAAATCCTGCCTGTGGATGCTTTCTGTCTCAGGGGCCATGGGCATGGGAACGTAACAAGGCTAATAAAGAAGCATAATTGGGACACAGAGAGATCTGCTTTTTTGGTGAGCAGTGCTTAGCTCAAACACTGCAGATTCTATAGCACTGTCAGTATTTATTATGGTGTAAAGTTAACATAGAAGGCACATGAATGTCCTTGCTGGTGCCAGAATTCAGCAAGTACATGACCATTTGCACAAACTTCGCATACACTGCTCTCCTGGTAACAGGATGTTGGCAGGTGGGAAGATCACAGGACACAGATGAAATATAAAACGACGTGAGCGATCCTGTAGTGGTAATTTTAGAAGCTGGGTTCTGTACATTATTTACAGTACATTGTAGCTTTACAGGAATAAGGCTGCCCCTTGCCACTCATGGATTTAATGTCTTCCATGGGGTTTCTGTGGGGGACTTCCCTCAAAGCAACAGCTGGAGGGATTTTGTCCATCCAAAGAAGTGTTAGAATTGGAAGTTATTTGCAGTAGAGCTACCTTCATTCATAGAACATTCATCTAGCACGAGGAGAAAAGGCACCTAAGACCTTCCACCAAATAAAAGGATTGAGTGAGTAAATCTGCTTGCTGCTGGTCTGAAGTGCAGAGGCCTGGCATAAAGACGGAACTGTTCACAGTGAACTGGGATAGAGTCAAAGTGATTCCTGCCTCCGGGAAATTTAAATTGGCTTTATCTTCAGTTAATGAAACATCCCCTCTTTTTCCTGGGGGAGGTTGAATTCTCCCTGTCTCTTGGAAGGCACTTTTGGCAATTGTATCCTGAATATGGGGAACTCTGGTTATTTTGGATGAGTATTTGTTTCTTCAGAAACCATCTGTAACAATTTGTAAAAAAAAATACAGAAAAATCAAAGGAAAGGGGAATATTTTGCAGTGTTTGAATAACACCCACCACTCCACTGTAGGAACATGATCCTTGAGGGAAAAGGGTTTATATTCTCCTTCAGGCTTTCAATTGGGCTGGATTTCTATCCTTGCCCAGATGGAAGGCTGTGGGTACAAGGGCTGTGGGGTGTGACCTGTAGCTGGGGCAGTGGAGGGGCCAGATGGGAGCTGCTCCTTGCCCAGACAGACCTGTCACTCATCTCCCAGCCTTCCTCAGGGTCATTGTGACCAGGGCAACATCCCCACATACTGCACCAAGGGGTGACACAAAATCTTTAAAAATTAAACAAAGAGACAAACAGCTCCAAGATCTACTGAAAGCAACGATTTTCTTCTTTTTTTTTTTTTTTTGGGGGGGGGGAAGGGGGTAGGGGGGTAGGGTTGCTTCATGTGTTTCTCTCAGCCAGCAGGTGCCTCTGTAGAGCCAATGCTTTGCCTGTATCACGATGAGTCCGTGGCAGAGCATTGAAATACCTGCTTTTAAATGACAATATAGCCTTTTCTTTCTTCTGTGTCTTTTCCCCCTACCCTTTCCTCAAGCCCATAGAGAGCCCAGGGATCTGCCAGTCTGGACTTCCACTCCATCTGCCGCATGAGGTCCTTGGAGGATGAAAGCAGGAGAAACATGTATGTTGACACACACATATTGTTACTATGTATGCCGTATGAAAAAATATTCTGTGTGACAGGAACAAAGTAGCTCAGATGGTGAATGCCCGCACCAAACTCAGCGAGACAAGGCTGCTTCCTTGCCCTTCCAATACCTTCTCAGAAAGCACGGTGGGGTTTGTCTGGCAAAACCTTCACCCCTTTAGTATGACACCCTTCTGCACACCCGGGCACCACTCAGCCAGCACAGGCAGGCCCCGGAGGCACAGGAGAATACCACTGGATTAAGAGAAATAAAACCCACCTGAGGATAACGCTCCTTCAGCCCTTTAACACATGGGTGCTAAGAAATCCCTGTATCTCAAAAGCCACGTCCTGGGGGGTGGTCAGATGATGGGTGTAATTACAGTTTGTCCCCCGCCGCCCCTCTCCCCAGATGGCTCTGCTGGACTTTGGAACAATTCCCACGGGCAAAGTGAATTTTGACCCGAACATATATCCATCGGCATAACAGAAAGCGCGGCGAGAAAGCAGGGCAGGGAGCTGGGTTCGAAATGCACGAGCCGCAGGGCTACGGCTCTGGCGTACAGAACCGCGGGGCTACGGCTTGGAGGGCGGGGAGGAGGCCGGGCCATCACGGAGGAGGTGGGACTTGCCGGAGCGTCTCTCCCCGTGGCCGCTCCGATCAGTTGCAGAGTGCTGACGAGCGGCGGGCGGCGGGGCGGGCGCTGCGCGGAACCGCCGCTGGAGTGCGCGGAGCGGGGCTGCTGCCGCGCCGGGGGCGAGGAGCGCACGCCGCGCCGGCGGGGGACAGCGCGCCACGGGAGCAGCCTTCCCCGGGCACCGGGACCTGCTGTTAGCTTGCCGCCTTGCTTTATCCTCTCGTTTAATTTATTTTTTCTCCACCTATACTTTGATCCGCTGGGATTTTTTTTTCCTCCCTTTCCTACAGAGCCTTCCCACGCCCCAGTTCCCTCCCTCTCTATCCAGCTTGGATTTTTTTCCTTTTTTTTTTTTTTTCATCTATTTTTTTAAAAGCGGCGGACAGAGAGAGGGAGAGACAGTAACGGATAGGACAAGAGGAAAACGCTCTGTTCGTCCTTTCCGCCACCACCACCCCGATTTGCGGAGAGGGGTCGGGCCGAGCGGCGGCGGCATCAGCCCCTTTCTCCAAGGAGGCGACCCCGGCTCGGAGAGCCGCCGGAGGCAGCCGCCGCGAAGAGAGGGCGCAGGAAAAGAGATGCACTGAAAGTTTCCGCGCAAACTTTGCTGTGAGTGCGCGAAACCGAGCGAGCGCGGCGCGGGTGCCTGCCTGCCCCGACGCGGGGAGAGCGCCGCGGACGGGCGCCGCTGTGGAGCTCGGACTGCCCGGCGGCGGGGGCCGGGCGGCGGCAGGGCGGCCGCGGAGCCTGCGCTCGGCCCGGCGGAGCGCCCACGGAAAGCAGCAGCAGGGGCCGGCGGAGAGCCGGGCTTATGGAGGGGTGAAACCGGAGACCCCGAAGAGGAACCCCCCTTACCCCGCAACCTTTCGCAGCGCCCGACCGGCGGCACCCCAGGAGGCGGCGGCGGGCACGGAGGAGACGCGGGCGAGACCTCGGCGGGGCGGCGGCGGCAGCGGGGCGGTGGCGAGGCGGAGCACGGCGGGCCCCGCTTCGCGGCGTGCGCCGGCAACCATGAACTTTCTGCTCACTTGGATCCGCTGGGGGCTGGCGGCGCTGCTCTATCTGCAGAGCGCGGAGGTAAGCGGCAGGACGGGGGCTTTTGTGTCCCGCGTAGCGGAGGGGAAGGGAAGGCAGACGGCCGACAATACTTTCCCCCCATTTTTTTTTTTTTTTTTTTTTTTTTTTTTTTTGTTTTTGTTTTTGTTTTGTTTTGTTTTGTTTTCTCTCGCTCCCCCTTTGCCTCCCACCTGCTCGGTGCGGTGCGGCCGCGCCGCTGGCGCCGAATATGGGTGGGTGCCCGCAGCACAGACACGTGTGCGTGCGTGCGTGCGGTGCTGCAGCGGGGGGACAGCGCTGCCCGGAGCTCCGCGGGGCCCCGGGGCAGCGGCAGCGCCTTGCGGAGTGCCTGCGCACATGAGCGTGCCCCGGCGCGGGGCTCCCGGCGCGGTGCGGCCGTGGGGTCCCGCCGGGGCGCGGGGCAGGGAGGCAGCACGCTGCCTTCTTGCATCAGCCTCGGGTCTCCTGACATTGCAAAAGGCTGCTTCGGCGATATTTGCCTTGGGTCCCAGCTCGGGTTCGTGCCGCCGTGTGGAGTTCAGAATGCCTAGCTGGAAAAACAAATAAGAGATCAAAGAGGACAAAATGGATCCAGAATTTCTTCCAGATTGGAAAAAAAAATTTAATCAAAATATAGATTTCCTGCACCGAGATTACAAAACCAAGGATTTTTCTCTTCCTCTTCAGTCACTTTTACCTCATTGTCATTCTCGAGGAATTAGAAACCAACTCTTCCTCCTTTCCTTTTTTTAAAGAAAAAAAAGGACAGCTTTCTTTGCAAACCTGTCTTATAAATCTGTTTTCTAAAGAGTCAAGAGGGCTGTGTTGCCAAGAGATATTAAGGGGTTTAGACAGAGTGCCCACGTGAAAGTGGCTGTTCGCGAGGCAGGCATGGATTACGTTTTAAAGGTTTTAACAGGTTAGTTTGCTCCTGCCATTTCTGCTCAGCGCTTGGAGAGAGCACGGGCCAGATCATCTCCCACAGTTGTGAAAATAAACGTTGCTTGCAAACTAATCAGTTATTCACATTGTTTGTTCAGCACCAATGCTGGAAGGCAACTCCCCAATTAGGAGCCATTTCAGCTGTAACTGAAGTCATGCAAGCACTGCACGCTTTGTTTCTAGCCTGTTATATCTCTACTTTATCCAGTGACAGCCGCACATTAGGCTGTGCTCGGCTGTGCTCTATGGGAACTGAGGCGCACTCTCACTTGAGTGTGGCACAGAGCAGCTCCCTGCTGCCTTCCTGCCAGATTTGGCTGGTGGGACAATTGTTTCTGCTCTCCAGGAGTTTTTCCACTGTCACCCAGAGTAGGAGTTTCTTTGCCTCTCAGCTCCTCAGTAAAATTGTTCAGTAGCGTCTGTTCCTCACCTATAGTATAGACAACTCTGTATTGGTGTCCAGTGATAACACCCTTTAACCCTCCCCTTGTTCCTTTTCCCCTCCCCTTCCTCTTCCCCAGAAGAGGAAACGGCGGATCAGGTAGAGCCGAGATCTATCTCTCCTCATAAAAGCCTTATGCTGCCTTTCTCCTGGGCTGGAGGGTGGTGCAGATGAGAAAACAATATAATGATGGAAAAAATGGTAGGGAAGAATTACAGGAGTTTGGGGGGAAATATTGCAGGGACAGACACAGGAGATAGCTAGAGGTTCAGGTACCTGGGTGATGTGGGCTATGTAAGTGCTCAGGCAGATCGACGGTGAGCTCTGCCCTTCGGTTCTGTCCTTATTTGTCCGTTGGTTGTTCGGGCACCACAGTGATGGGAGTGTTAGAAATGCCAGCAGATCTCACGTAGGCAGCTTGGTGATCACCCTGAGCATGGCAGAAGGCATGACTCTTCACACAGGACTAGGGTTTGTGCTTTGATGATAATATTTATCTGGCTGTCAGGCTGATCTATCTAGCTAGCCAGGCACATTAGAGAGCATTAAATAAAAGCCCTGATAGAGTCTGAGTTGGGGAAGCAGGGTCCAGCATGTGTCAGGCAGCTTTCCTTAAAGTAAAGTAGAAGGGATGAAGGAATCATGGTGCTCCTCCACTGAGGATAAAGAGTCATCCCTTCAGGGGGATGACTCCTTACAGAGGTAGTTGTTATGGTTGCTCCTGCAGCAAGACTTAGATGGTGGGAAGTTGTTTCATGGTCGTGTCTGATCAGCACTAATGCTACAAGTGTCTGCCTCCACTGATGGTGACAGCTCTTCCATGCAGGTGAGGGCAGGAAAGGCACTTTTGCAGTGCCACCCTCCCAGCTGATTGTGCTGAGTGGTGTGCAGTTCTCACACACCACGGGATTGGAGAGGTTGCATTGTTAGCCCCCTTCCAGTTCTGTCTTTCCTAGAGAATGGGGGACAGGTGGTTATTCCCCATCTTCCTTCATTTGTGGGTCTTGCTGCCAGCCTGGTGACAGGTCACTCCTGATGATGGTCTGGGAGCTCTTCCCCTCCTGCCCAGAAAAGCAGAGACCTGGATATACCAGATGTATTGCCATAGGGAAGAGGCAGTGATCAGACACCGAGGGAGGGAGAATAAGCCTGTGACTAGACTGTTAATGATCGCATACCCACCAGGCTGCCTGCCTTTGCTGTGCCTCTGCACCACACCACGATGGGGAGCCACCAGAACCTGCTTCCACAGCCTTTAGGCAGCTGGGACGAAGCAGGTCACCTTCCCCAGAGCCGTTCCTGTGCTCTGAGGACGGGTTGGAAAGAGGAGCACTCCTTTGGTAACAGGGGAGAGGGATGTCTGAGGGGCTCACTGATTCCTGAGCAACCCCAAATCAATTCTCCTGTCTGTTCTGTCAGAGGTCCCCTGGCTGTGCTGGCAGCTTGCAGGATTACTGACCTCTGTCTGCTTGTACAATGGAGAAGGAGTGCAGTGAGTCCCATTCCCCCCCCTTCCTAAGCAGAAAACGCTGAGAATTTCTAGTGCCTAAGACGAAAAGTGCCTTAACTCCTGTCCCAGAGTCCCTCTCAAAGTGGATGGATTGTTTGTTCCAGTCCTAAACAGTTACAAAGCTCCTTTAATGAGCCTGCACAGATTAGGGGGAGGGGAAGGGAGAGAAAGAGTGCTGGTGGTGGTGGTGGTGGTGAGGGGGGTGATGGTTAGAGAGGAATGACTTGATTAACCTTTTCTCTCCCTTCAGAGAAAAGCTTCCTTTGGACAGGGACTGGGGGAGAAGGGAGGCAGGGAAGGTACAGACATATGGATGGTGTGAAGTGGGTTTATTAGAGAAGGTTTTACCCCACAGAGGGAAGGATGTGCATTTGCTACAACCTGCAAAGAGCACAGAAAGGAGCTTCCTCTGTCAGCCCCATTCCTGGGCTCATTTATCCTACTCTCAAGGCCAGGCCAGGGGTTGCTTCCACACTACTGTGAAATGTTGAAAATCTATTGAAAGGAAATTGTGTTACAGAACTGTTGGGTAATGCCAAAAGCCAGCAGAGGAGAGCATGACCTTCAGGCTCCTAATGAAGGACACAGTTGGCCTGCTTGTCCTGAGGAATGTTTTTGGTTCCCCATGTCTGATACATAGCAGACTGTTTTGAAGTGAGGCACAAGGCCCTGCCTCACCTGCTGTTCCAGTGGACGTGCTTTGAGGGCTCTAGGCACAGGTGAAAGACACTGCTGAAAGGGCAGAAAAGTTTCTTGGAATAGTGCGCAGAGAGCCTGTTACTGATAGTTCTGGGAAACCTTTCTAGTTTCTGCTGAGAGCTCCCCTGGGAAAGCTCAGAAGCTCTTTGCCCAATTTGCACTGATCTCGTTTCCCATCTTTGGGGTCAGATCACATCCCAGGTCCAGGTGAGCACTGCGAGTGTTCTGGCTCCTGCTCCACTACATCAGGGGCAGGGCGAAGTGCTGGCTAGGCGCAGGTGAGTAGCAAAAGCATGTGTGTGGCTTGCTTCTGCTTCTCATCACTTGTGCAGCCTGTGTGCTTGTACATGAGGAGGCAGTGGGCTTGGCAGCTGGCTGGGTAGCTTTGCATAGAGAATGGGTTAAAATGACCCTCAAGGTACCCCCAAGCTAATTTTGCTCAGTCTGTCATGGTCATTTTGTGTATGAACCAGAAATCCGTCTGTGAAAAGTCTTGGGGGCATTGTGACTTCAATAAACTGACTTGGCTCGTGATCCTCTTCCTGTGCCATAGCAGATTGAGACTTTTCTGTCCTTGATGCAGTTTTCTTTTTACCCACAGATTGTCAGGAACTGAGTGGCTTTGGAAGGCCGCTGCAGCCTCCGCTGCCTCCATTTTGTTTGTACTGTTGCAGTGACCTTCACACTTCAGGAATGAAACTGTTTCTAGGAACCTGTTTTTTAAAGTGTTGTCACAGCACTGAGACTGGGACACAGCCCCCCTCCTCCCCAGAGAAGAAATAGATCCACACATGGGGCAGCTCAGGTCTGGGCTGCTAAGTTATGCCCAGGTATAGAAAGACTTTGATTGAAATGAGAAACAAGTTCGGTCAGGGGGACCTTAGACAAAGGGAGCTATGCACAGACACAAAAGAATGTC